ACATGTGCATTATCATCATTTATACATGTGCCTTATCTCATATAATATGATATGATGTCCTTGCTGAAATCACTGAAGTGATCACTGATCATCCAATTCCACCTCTTCTTGTATCACTACTTACTTTAGTGGGACAGCTGGGACAACCTTCAAACTTTGGATGGCCCTGCTATGAGTTTCTATTGTGGCATGCATGGGGCATGCCACTTAGGACCTGTTGTCCCAAGACAACATAGCAGGATTTGAGTAGAACAAAGGCTGCAGATATAATAATGTATACATAAAACTACTGTCTTTTTGCTGCACCACAAATTAGAATTTCTGGGAAATCCAACTGAAGTATACAAAGGATGCCTCTTTGGAACAGAGTTTATCCTTAGCATACACTATCACAAAAATCTATGGCTACTCTTAACTACCATGATGCTGTTCCCAGACAGCCAGATGACCCTGGTAAAACTAATTTTTGATAGTTTCAGATCCATCTCCTGTGCCATATGATTTTTGTAAGACAGCAGGCCTATTATTTTCTTTGCCCATATAAATTCTACCTCCACGTATCTTCAGCTGCTGTTTCCTTTTGTCTATAACCAAGCTTTGAGGAAAGAAAAATCAGACTGGGAGCCTGCTTGACTTCATTTACTTTTATTTTCCCTTATCTGTAGATAGTGGGTCACCTCAGCAGACTACTGGCACCAGCTGAAATTACCATTTTTATTGGATTTTATAAAAACAAAAACAAAAGTCCCAAAACAAAACCCAAAACCAAATAGTTATCATGGTGTCATTTATGAATAAACAAGCAAATGTATGTCAGTATGCCATGATAATAAAAGGGTTTTGTATGTTGGCTCAGGATATTAAAAACAAAAATATATTCTATATTCTGGTCTAGAGTTATTGTTCCCTACATGTGAATATAATTAATTGGTGTTTGCATATTTTTTAAACAATTCAGTACAGTACAGTTTCCTGTACTGTTGTTAATTTGATGGAAAACAAGCTTCTTTGGTTGTTTATGAAGCCAATAATGCAATAATTGATCTCATTTTAATTCTTTATTGACATTTACCTTTTTGTTATATTCCTTTTCTTTTGCTTTATATTTTATTATTTGCTGAACTGAACACTACTTGGTAAAAGGAAATTACTACTAGAAATCTAGTATTAATCTTATTTGCAATGTTTATAAATATCCTAGCTCTTGTCACACTAAAAACCTCTATGTTACAATGATCACCATGGAATACACTGGGAAAGGGCAAGGGAACAAATTTAAAAAAAATGTGCATTGCAGCATTATGACATGAACTTTGCCCTTTTTGTATGTGAATTACTTAAATGAATATGTACGACCTTATCTTGTTAGCATCAGAATACATATTTTGTAATTTTGCTGAAATTTTAGTTTGCTGCGGATGCCTGTGAACTTCACTATAATGTAACATTGTGACTGTAAGACCATAATATTATAAACTATTTTGGGGAAATTCATTCAGCCATGCATTCCAGTGATGGTCAAAGTAGAAAATTCTGATTTCAACTTCCTGCTACTTTGAACAGTTGACATGCCCTATTCAGAGTAAGTAGCCTTAGTGCAGTGATTCTCAACCTTTCTAATGCCGTGACCCCATAATACAGTTCCCCATGTTGTGGTGACCCCCAAGTGGGTGTGGCCACCAATAAGAGGGAGTAGGACAGCTAGGGAAAAGGGAAAAAAATGGCGGACAGCATGGTTTGGTGACCCCCGTGAAATGGTCATTCAACCCCAAATGGGGTCCCGACCCACAGGTTGAGAACCACTGCCTTAATGCTTCTCTTCTGATAGTCATACATCTTAGCATGCCAACGACTGCATTTGCTATTATATTCCCCCTCCTCCATATGTTTCATGGCCAATCAGAACCAAACACTTCTCAAACATATCCATAAGAGGGTTATGTCATTGATTCAATGATTTTTACAGACACAGATTTGCTCAGCACTACCCACTGCTTTTGCACATTGCCCATGCATGCACCAAACTATAGTTGTGACTGCTTCTATATTAAGTTGAGCCATTGATAATGTGAGTGCTACAAGCCTACTAGTCAAATTTGTAATAATGAAACATAAAACTAAAAAGGAATATATTCCAGTGATATGCTTTGTAGTATTGGGCAATTGCTATATCAGGCAATCCTCTGCCCCATCTAATGGGATATTGTTTAAAGTTCCCCATCACCAACTTCTGTATTCTAAGAAGAATCTTCCTCTGAGCTCTAGGATATGTTGGAAAGGCCAGCAGCAATTTCATGGAAGCAAAACTCCCTTAAGATGTTATGCAGAAACTGTGCTTCCCCAGCAATGGCTTGAAGAAACATTAAAGAACTGTGGTGGCTGTGGATGCTATGTTCCAACCTCTCTGAAGCCAGTCTGTATGGGATGTGATGGAGTCATGTATGGTCATTTCCAGACCTACCGTTTTTGGCTACTAACTCTTGTACTCCAGTTGATGTACTTTTGATTTTGTTATATTCTTTCACCAAGTATGGAAAGTCCCTAGTCTGTATGCCACATGGTCAACATATCAGTGTTTTGAAGGTTAAATTGGAATTTCTTTTGGACTTTGGCTTTGTCCCAGATCATATGAGAGAAATGATTTGGTTTCTCCACCATATAATTCCACAGCAGCACTTTGCTGGGATTATCGTCAGCCATTGCCTGACGTTGGACTTGAATATGAGCATCAGATCATGCAGCTATAGAGCAGTGTTTCCTAAACTTGACAATTTTAAGGCATGTGGACTTCAACTCCCAGAATTCCACAGCCAGCGTTGCTGGCTGTGGAATTCTGGGAGTTGAAGTCTTCATGCCTTAAAATTGTCAAGTTTGAGAAATACTGCTATAGAGCAACTGAATCATAAGTACAAATAAAGGGGAAATATACGAAAAAAAATCAGACTGCAGAGAAGCCTGATTCACTAATGTTAGTTTTTACAAAAGATCAACCAGATTGGCCAGTACATTGGCAAATCAAAAATACCATAGCTGCTGACTTCTAGGAATTACACAGTGAAATGGTGTTCAGTAGACACTTACAATTCCTCTCATAATTTTATTAGTTTGCACTTTCCCAAAGAGGTTTAAAGCTATAAAAGCATTGTAATTCCACATATAAGTTCTTAGATATAAAGTCTAGCACAAATAAACTGCCACAGCTAAAAATGAAAAAAAGCATGTAGAACACACTATTTGTTAAAGCTTACCCAAAGTAACTTTGAATGCTTAGTTTATCTAGAGCAGTGGTTCTCAACCTTTGGGTTGGGACCCCATTTGGGGTCGAACGACCATTTCACAGGGGTTGCCAAACAACGCAGTCCGCCATTTTTTCCTCTTTTCCTTAGCTGTGCTACTCCCTTTTATTCTATTGGCTTTGGAAAGCCAATAGAATAGACTCTCTTGAATAGAGTCTAATTCTATTGGCTTTCAAAAACCAATAGGAATTGTTCAGGCTGTCTCTGCCCTGCTGAGCCCACCAAAAGTCCCATTCTGCAAACGGTGCTGCACCAGTTGAGTAGTCCTCAACTTACGACTGGTTGAGTAGTCCTCGACTTATGACCGGTTGGGGGTCACAGCATTAAAAAGGTTGAGAACCACTGATCTAGAGCTATGATGACCAGTAGCCTACTGAACTAGAATATGATGGCAGAAAAAAAAAAAACATTTGATGAACAGGATGTTACAATTGCTAGGCCAGTTACCTCAACAATTTTATAAAAAAAGGAAGTTGGTCTGATTTTCAAGTGAGCAAATACTGAATAAGTGGATGGCTCTAGGCTGAAACGCAGACAAAAAGGGTTTTTCTTGAAACTGTATTATATCTTCAGTTGGCCCAGTGTGCCAACTGAAGGCCCAAACTTACTATGTCAAAAAGCACAATAGCTCTGGTAGATGAGCCATTAGGATTTCTTAGAAATGGGCAAACCACAGGGTGCAGATGGTCACATCATGCAGGACCAGATGCGGTTGTGACCTTGCACTGTATTGATAGTGGCTATGTGGATATGTCCTTGATCTGGAAAAAAAAAAAATGAACAGAACTGAGATGTAAAAGAAAAGGAGATTAATTTAAATCCTGTACTTTTTAATGAAACTTATTTTCACTTTCTTCTTTCAATGATTATTCCACATGTGCCTATTATTTTAGGTCACCTGTCACTGCCTCCTTCCTCATTTATTCTTCTCCCTCAATCATTGTTCGATAATCTTCCCATTCCCTTGTCATAGTTTACATACATAGCAAATCATGCTTTTTAGTTTCAGTTGTGCGGCTGCCTGCGCAGTGACCCATTTTCCCAGACTTGCTTGCTTGTTCACTCTCTGCTTCTCAATAGCTCTCAAATGGGTGCTGTTTCAGGCCGCTGGGCACTTGCTTCGTTCCCAACCTGTCAAGTTAATAATGAATGAATAAATAAATGGGGGTGGGGGGAGCTGAGGAAAAGCCAGCCACTTTCAGAATTACCTTTGGATAGCGTGTCTACTACTTCCGATGTTCCCCACCTTTTATTCTTCTGTCTGTTCTTCCATTGGCTTGTAAGTAATGCCTAGCTGTAATTTTAATAGGTTTAAGTACTTGCCAGTCCGGAGTAGAGGCTGGAAAGCTGGTAACTCTAAGCAATAAGTTTCCTTCAAATATTTAAGATCATCCTCCTCTTATTCTTTTCTTATTCTTCTTATTGCTTTCCTTTAACGGACAGAATGTACACAATGCGTCCTTTTTATTGGATAGGTGCTACTGTCTGTCACGTACTAAGCATGAAAAGGGGCGGTTGTCAAGGAGAGCATGGCTATGCGAACGGGGGCGGGCGGGGGAGATTTATCAAAATCTCTGGGAGGGGCGTGGTCTGGAAGTCTGGAGGTGTGGCTAGTCAGAAAGGAAAGCGTGGTTTGGAAGGGGGTGGTGATTTGGAAGAGAAAGGAGGGGGAGGGGGGAGGGAGAGAGAGAGAGGGAGAGAAAGAGAGAGAGAGAGGAGGAGAAGGTGCGCGCGCTGAGATTGTCCTTGTGTCTAGAGCTGGAAAAGCGGCTTGGGTAGCGGAGCACTCTCCCTGCGAGTCGAGGTGAGAGAGCGCGTGCGAAGCTGTAGGAAGACGAGGGCAGCTGTCTCCACCCCATCTCCTTAGTCGGATTGACCGGCGAAGACGAAAAAAGCAGCTCTGTCACATTTCAAGGAACGGATAGACGGCTCAGCGAAAGAAAGGAGGTGTGCGTGCGTGTGTGGGGGTGCAATTGTGCCCATCTGAAAAAAAAAAAAGGACAGGGCTGGGAACGAATTGATGGGAAGAGAAAAGCGTGCCGACAGCAGTTCTTCGCCGCTGCACGCCCGCGCGAGCCTGGTTCTCGTGGTTACCCGCTGGATAGGTTGAGGGAGACACTGCGGCGGCGGCGGCGGAGGAGGAGGCGGTTTTTGCTGAGGGAAGGACGAGCCCGGTGAGAAGAGGAAGAAGAGGAGGAAGCTGCGGTTGGTAGCAGCAGCAGCAGCAGCAGTAGCCGCGGGATTCTCTGCTTCACGTCCAGCCAGCCGGAGGGAAACCTCCAGGATGCGGCTGAAACCGAGCGTCGTCTTGCGCTTATACAGCCTCTGCGGGATCCTTATACAAGGTACCACCCCCGCCCGTCCCCCTCGTTGGCCCCCGCTCTCTTCCAACTTAGGAATATGGTGTGCGTCCGAAGGTGGTGAGATCCGTAGGGCTGAAGAGGCCACAGCTGCTTTATAAAGATTCCTCCGTTGACCTTATTTCCTCTCCCCCTGGAGCTTTGCCCTCAACCTGTTCCTCATTTGTCTTCGTCTCTTGCTTCTCTCCCTCCCCCCTCGCCTCCCTCTCCCACATGCCTGGCATCTTTAGCTGTGGGGTTCCTTTGCCTTCTTCTGGTTCTCTCTTCCTTTTTGCCTCTTTCTTTCATCCTTCACCCTCCAGTGTTCTCTTCTATAAAAGCCCCACTTGTGAAGAGCTTTCTGTCCTTAAAGTGCTGCACAAACATTAATCCTTTCCTGCCCGCCCTTAATAGTCTTTCCCTCGTGCCCTCCCTCCCTCCCTCCCTCTGGAGGCTCGCATTCTCCCTTTCAACTCCTTGCAACCTTCCCCTTCTGCCACTCTTTTTCACCCTGTCAAATAGGTCTAGGAAAGTGAGAAGGGGAATGCAGTGAGGTGAACAACGTGTGCACTGCAAAATCATCCCAGGAGTATAAAAGCTAAAATGGGAGGGGGGGAGGAGGGCATAGACAATAAGACTATAGAAGTGTGGCTGGTGAGAAAAGGGAGTCTTAAAGATGAGCAAAGCGAAATATTGGACCCCTTTCTCCTCCCGCCATAACCTATAATATGTACAGTAGTGCATCCTCGCAGCCCCTTGTTCCCTTCAGTTCTTTGTTTTACATTATTTGTTCCCTTGTTTTCTTCCTAATTTATGTTCCGTTGACACATATTGACCTCGTAAGTGAAATTCAGACATTACACTGGAAAAACCGTGTAAGGTATTTTGCTCATGTGAATGAATGAATGAATCTGAAAATAAGTGGCTGTTAAATAAGTAGAAAGCACAGCAGCTTATTTCAAGCTTCCAACACTATCTCTTTTAGCTCTGTAAAATTGTGGTAAGTGGTGAACAGTAAATGTCTATTAAGGAATCCACAGAAGGATTCCGTTGATCCTTCTTGTTCCTTTGAGAATGTGGCTGTGGTGTTGGAATGTGCAATAAGGGTAATGGATATGTGTGCGTGTATGTGCATGTCTTTATGGCTGCAGTGTTCGAGTATGTGGTTGTAGGGTCCTTTTGCTGCCTGTTTTTCCTCTCCCACAGGCAATGGGAGAATGTAACAGTTAAAATCCAAATTGTGAGGATGAAAGATCCTTGAGTGTTAACAACCATCTAGTTTGCTTCTAGAGGCTTCAAATGAGGTCAGCAAGCAACTTCTCCATGTTTTCTTCAGGATGGTTGGCATTTGCCCCTTTCCCACCATCATGTTGTCTGAGTCTAAAAAATTGTCTCAATCTCGCTATGCTCTCTAATTAAGAAACAGTTTTGACCTTGTGATACCATGTTCATAGTGTAATCTGTTTGCAAGGAGTGGTAGTATAAAGTTGGTTGATTTTTTTCCCTTTCTTCTTCTTTTTTTATGGTATTCCATGCCTCCATGCAATTGCCATGGTATGATATAAGGTCTCCAGAGAAAGCAGTGGAAGCCTTTGCTCCATATATCCCCAAAGCAGAAGTAATCTTTTAAGTGAGTCTGATTCTGCTGGATTTGTAAATCTGCATAGCCCCCCCCCCCAGGTTTATCTTTCGAGTTTTAAAGCAAGTGCTGAAAAGAGGTGGAATGACTGTGTTTGGGAACTGAAATGATTTTATATGGCTATTTGCTTTTCTTACTAATCTCTGGGAACTGCTGGGAATGTCACAATATAAGGAGCTGCTGTTGTGCTCTTGTATGGGATTATTTATTGAGGAATCTGGCAGGTGGCACATGTAGGGGGTTGCCTCTCTTGTTACATTTCCATGTGAACTGTCAATTCTCTTTGCTGCAAAAGGAGGAGGAAGCTCTCTTTATTGATTTTTTTTTATCACTGTAATCATGGTTGTTTCTGATGAACAAAAACTTGATATATTTTAGGCTATGGAGTCAGCTGCATTCCATGCACACTGTATTACAGAGTAAACTAATAGTGTAAAATTGTGGCTGCCTGTCCAGATACGTGTATTTTTTTTTTTTTTAAAAAAAACAGCAGTTCAGTGATTGTGCCAGGAAGGAAAAAAAAATGCACCACTGCAGGCAGCATCAGGTAAAAGAGAAATGCCATGCAAGGAGTTGCTTTTTGCTGTTGCTGTTATAAAGGTAATCAAACTGGTCCTTTTCCAGTCAGATAAAGAACAATCTGTTTCTTTTTACATCACCTACCTGGTATTTTGCCCTATATTGTAAAAAGTGGGGTGTTCTGTTTGGCTTAATTTGTCAGTTTTGTTTCCAGCAGTCCTTGATGAAAATAAGAGTTCGAATAGTCACCCTTGCAGGTCTGACTGAGAAGATGCTCTGTAAAATACTTTGACTGATTTCGTTCTTATAATTCAAAATGACTGAATTTTTCCAATATACAGAAGCCTGTTGTGTCTTCATATGACAGAAATGAAACAATAAGAAGTCAGTATGTATTTATAACATAAGTATGCTACACTTAATAGTTATACATGATTTAACCTCATTTTAATTTCTTATTATGTTAATAACTCTACATGGGTTTGACCATTAGTCATTAATACTATTATGTAATATTAATAAACTTGCTTGGAAGTTCAGCCAATTTAATCATTTCTCAACTTTTGTCTGTTCTAATGCACATAGACTTTCCCTACCCACACTCCTTATCTAATTTGTAGATAAACAGTGAAACTACAATAATAAATTTAAAATCAAGATTTTCAGTCAATACTTAGAAAAAGCTTCACTTTTTTAAAATTGAGGACAATACAAATCTTTTGAAATGTAAAGCCGTCTGGTACCTACATTCCTTATATGAAGGTAGTTGTATTCATTGCAATGGACTTGATAATGAAATCTTGATTTAACAAAATAAGGAAAGAAAAATGGACAGATGAAATCTCTTTTTTATCTAGAATTGAAGCTGGGTAATAAATATAATTTGTATAGGAATATGATTTTGTTGTGATAACCTCTTTTAACCAGGAGGCCAACTGCAAAAATCCAGAATACTTTTAAGGAGATAATAGATCATCAGGTTGTATGGAGATTGACACTGCCTTATGAGAATGAAGATATTAGTGGGCAGTGAAAAAATGAGTTCAAGATTTTATTTCATGAGGCCAGACATTTTTCTCCTAGATTTAAATATAAGTATAAAATTTAAGTTCTCTTGCTACTGGATATAGTAAAGGTGCTCCCAATTATTGTGGGTATAAGCTTACTTACAAATCTTATAGCCATTATATAACTAAGTATATTATATTTATTCATTAATATGCTTCATTGTATTACTTTTATCTGGAAAATTTTAGAAGCGTAACAGGTAGAGTTGCTTAATATTTTATCAGTCCTACAAAAACCAGTTAAAAGCTTCACTAAACAGTTTAAAACTAATCATAGATAAAATATTATATTTTAAAAACGTGTATTTCATATATGGTACGAAGATTGCAGCAATAAACATTTTACTGTACTTCAAGTATATAAAGGTGTAAGAATTGGCCCAGAATTGTAGCTGCTATAGCCCCCTGCTGTGAGATAATGCAAATAGCATCCAGTGTTTTAAGTTGCTATGCCTTTCTGAAAATACAAAGTACAGTATTTTTTTTTTAACAAAATAGTTCATTGGGATTTCAGTAACACAGAATAAATACTTTAAAGATCAATTATAGTCTTACTGAAATAAAAATCTCATCAAATGATTGCTAATCTATCAGACAAGTATATTCTGATACATCTAATATCAGTAAATGATTGTCAGTAGATGACTAACTAACATTTTATGACTCTTTCAAAACATGTGCTGACACATCTATAAATTAGAATGTTTTTTTTACCCCGTTAAAAATAAGACAGTGATTTTGCTTAAATGTATACTAGAAATAATGTGCTACAAAATTGCAGTAGTTTGGTCAAAATGATATATACCCAGATCATTTTTAACATCTCTCTCAATACTTACATGAGATCTATCAAGTTAAGAAGACTTTCCCAAACTTGGTGCATCCAGACACTTGAAATGACAATTCTTAGAACCCCAAGCTATTGAGATTTCAGGAACTTCCAATAGTTAATTCTAATATCTTAAGGTTGCCATGTTGGTACAAGCTGATGCATAGAACTATATTTTGATCAAGTATACAGCCGAATACCAGGTAACACCCTTCCCTAAGACACATCTACTTAACAAAAGGTGTGATTATATCATTTTCTAAAGTATAATTTGAATAAAAGTGGTGGCTTAAAATTATTTAATATGTTACATTTATGTATTTGTGCATTCCATGTATTAAAATATTATATTCCACATAAACAGTAATTCTTCCATTTATTAAAAAGGTTAAACACAGTATTTTTTTAAGTAAGGTATAAGCTTTGAACATGACAAGAATGTTCATATTTTGTGAAATACTTTTTACAGAATGATAATAAAACATGTATACTGATACATCGAAACAAAACATCTTAGAAATAAGCCTTACCAATGTGGATGTTAATTTCAATGTAAAAATTAGACATTTGGTGGATTAATGTGTATATTTCATACAGTGCAATGGTACAAATAAAATGGATATAATACATTATTTCTGCCAGATGTGCATGATAATATTTATGTATATAAGCCATAACTTATAGTGAAATGGACATGAGTATTTAAAAATCTTTCTTTTGTGGTTTGGGTGTTTTTCTTTCTATCATATTGCTTCCCTTTCTTTTTAAAGTTGATCTTTTTGGTGTCTTATACTCCTGATTTGTTAACATACACGGATAGTAATTTTATTATTTATAATAAATATTAATGTTTATTAAAAATCAAAGTGAGAACAGTAAAGAGTGAATAAAACCATGAAATAGTATAAATTTATCTATACATACATGTGTATATATATATGTGTGTGTGTGT